CCATCCATCGTCTTTACTCGCTTCTTCTTTTTTGTGTCATGGGGGTCACTGGTGTCCATGTCCACCAGTCACTGTACAAGAGGCACCTGGACAGGTCTCCAGTCCATCACACAGGGACACAGAGACAAATGAGACAAACAATCATTCACTCTCTCATCTAGAGACAATTCAGAGTTACCATCAGCCTAACATGCATGTTTTTGGTCTGTGGGAGGAAACAGGAGTACCTGGAGAAAACCCACGCAGCACGGAGAGAACATGCAAACTCCACCCAGAAAGGTCACAGCTGGGATTCAATGTGGCGACCTCCTCGTTGAGAGGCGGCAGCTCTACCAACCGAGACACCGTGCCGCCATAGATATTCACAAAGACACAAATTTCAGAGACTTTACATCCCCGTCCTTTTCACCTTACACGGATGTGAAGCAGCGTTACACTGCAACATGCTACAGCTAGCTGCTGCTAAAAACAAACAAACAAACAAAATCTAATTCTACGTAAACGAGTGGTTTCGTCTTTTCATCCAAAATATTTTGTCAGTCTGCGGAGCTGCAACGAACTCACACATTCATTCAACCTTTGTTTCTACAGGTTAGTCTCAATGAGCCTCGAGGACTCATTTACAAGTGAGACCTGTCGTGGTACACCCATGTCCCCCGTCGCTGAGGGATTTAAATGTGGAGAGGATTTCACCTAGGTGCATCCACACACCAAAGATGAAGCTGGTACGTTGCTAATCTTTCAGATTATCCAGCTCACAAGATGGACCAACATATATGACAGCAGCCATCTTGAATTTGAAGTAACAACATTTTCGATAGGGACTTGTTTACGTTTATGCAGCGACACACCAACATGGAAGTCGGCGCGTTGCTTATTGTTCAAGTTATCCAACTCACATGTGACGGCAGCCATAAATGCATGGAACCATGTGAAATGGTCCAAAACCCACTTTGGACCATTTCAATGTTTCTTCCTTACGTTTCTCCAGATCTATGCCTCCAAACTTTCCTGTATGGACAGTTCCAGGTAAGCTATTGGTCCCAATAATATGGTTTTAATACTGATGCTGTAATTAACTGGATCACGTTGTTTTTAAGTAAAGTGGATAACATCGCAAAGGGGTTAACGTCACTGTGTCTGAAAACTTTCCATCTGCACTGCAGTTTCCAGCTCAAATTCTTCAATAATCTATTTGTTTAATCAGTGTGATTTAACCACATCGTCATTTCCCTAATAATGGGATGAATTATAGTCACATCAGTCATTCCGCTAATCATTTGGATTATTGCTCAGGCTGTGAAAACATTTATTAGCCAGACTGCAACAACGTTGTTTTTTGTAGCTGTGGAGGAATCTTCCCTTGGTGAACACACAGTTATTAACAGAAAGCCTTTGTTGTGAACTGCAGCACGTGGGCGCTTACCAGACAGGAAGAAACAAATAGATGCTGCTGCGTTATAGTAAATGTAGAAATCTTTCAGGAAACAGATTTTTATTAGAGTTAAAATCAGCATATTCTTCCCCTCCTGCTACTTTGATCACTTACTACACATATGATGTTGCCTAACTGCAGTAAAATATCCTTTTAGTTCAAAGTGATGCATCCATACTACAAACAATGTTTATATTCATACCAAAATCCAATTTATTAAAACTGTTCACGGCCCTGATCTTTGTAAACCTTATACCCATTATATACAAGTGAATAATGCAAGCAAGTCTTAAAAAAAGAATTAGAGAAAATGCATTTCCTGTGAAAATGCTGTGTGAATTATTGCAGAAGAATTATCTGAAAAACAGCTGAAATTCACAATAAAACGTGCTGAAATGTAGCTAAAATGGAAGAACAAGCCTACATTAGCAGAAGAAAGCAGAAATAACACATATCTACTGAATTTGGTTTAGATGAGCAGAAATGAGCATGAAAATTAGGATTTTGGCTAAAAAAGTTGAAATTTGTAAAAAAATGGCTGAAAAGTAACTGAAAAGACAGAAAGTAGCTTAAACTACCAGAAGGAAGTGGAAAGAGCTTAAATGAGCTAAAAAAAAAAAAGTGGAATTAGCCTAAAAAAACAAATTTAGCTTAAAAAAAGCTAAATGGTAGCTGAAATAGCAGAAAAAGCTGAAAGAAGCATTTCAAACCGTTTACAGCAGCATTTTTTTTTTTTTACACAGAAACTTTGGTTTAAAAAAAAATCTATAAACCTACTATATTTGCTTTCTTATCTGAAGTAACAAACATTATTTAATATGCTAAAGTAGCCAAGAGGTAGCTAAAACAAGCGTAAAAACAATTGCCAAGAATTATTCGTGCGAGTGAGTTTGCTGTGGCAACCCCTAAAGGGAGCAGTCGAAAGAAGAAGAACATGCATTTGTAACAGTTGTTAGCGTCGCCATTTGAACTCATTTTTCAGGTTTTCAACTGGAACAGGGTTAAACTGGATCCGACGTCCAAATAGCGGCTAGCTGTGCTGCAACGCTAACGCTAGCTTATAGATAAACAGAAAACAAGTGGAGATTCAGTTTCTCCATTTTTAATTTAAAAATGTCTCCTATGCGCTACCGCTAACACTGTTTTGTTCACATCTTGAAATGAGAAAGAACAAATGGCTGCTGTGTTTTTTTTTACTGTAGCAACTTAACTGGTTATTTTTCAGTTACGCTGCAAAATCCTTTGTCCACCTCTTTTGGAGCTTTACACATTTTCAGTGGTAAAGCTGCGTTTCCCCTACCATTATACAAGCAGGGCGCCCCGCCCTGTCAACAGAACTGAGCGCCCTGCCTACCGACCCCCCCACCCCGCCACCGGACAACTGACAGTACTGACGTAGCGCTAAGCAATACAGATGTGCTAGCTAAACAACAGATGTGCTAGCTAAACAGCGCTCTATTTCCCTGGCGCTGAGCTGTCTACCTCCACCCCCCTCCTCTTCCCTTCGACAAAATTCACAGAAGATGTGACCGCCCTGCCAAGGCACGTAAACTAGAGGAATCACTGCTAACGGGAAAGTGAGTTATTTCTTATTTTGTCAGAATTAAGCTAGTTTATTCAGCACAGCAGCTCAGTGGTTAGCACTGTTGCCTCATAGCAAGAAGATCCTGGGTTCAAACACCCGGGTTGGACCTGGGGTCTTTCTGTGAGCAGTTTGCTTGTTCTCATTGTGTTTGTGCCAGTTTTAAACTGCCTTCAGGCCTCCCTGCCAGAAAAAAGATCTGTATATCATCGGGATTGGCCTGGTTAAACATTAGTTGCTGCTACATTTTACGTTAAGCTAAACTAACCGTCTCCTACCTACAGGCTATAGTAAAACATTTTAACTGACTGGTATCAAAGTTGGGTCTGAAGCAGATAATTAATTTTCACTGTTTTCCCCTTTAGTTGCATGTTGCGAAAAGAGATACAAGAATACAACTCTAACACAAATATACCTATGTGCACAGTGTACTTTTGGTTTTACTGGTCTGTGTTGTAAATATATGGTTTTCTCTGAGACAGAGGCTCCCCAGCATAGCAACCAGCTGATTCCCCGCTCCACATCCTTGTGGGATAAAACCTTGAGAAACAAAAAACAGCTGCACAGAGACATCAGTCATCCTTTGTGAGGCTAGCTGGATGGAAAACAGCACCTGCGGCTAGGCCAAGCTAACTCTGTGTTGATACTTCATGCTGAAAAAACCCCTCATCCTCCTTCAACCTTCTTGTTTCAAAGGCCTGTAGCCCAGTCTGGATCAAAGACATACATCCATTTGTTACTTCGGATGCTTTTTGACACATTCACAGCTCTCCTCTGCTTTAAGGGCAGTTACAACTTTATCTAAACAATTGCCAGAAAGCTCCTCAGTTGGAGAGTTCGGCCTCACAGAACAGAACAGGAAGTGCCAAATGGATCCCATATGACTGGCATTCTTCTGGGCTAACCCCCATCATCATTAAACGTCAAAGAAAGTCCCAATTAGTTGGTTTGCTGGGCAATGAACAGATGTAGCCAGTTCATAAAAAATATTAAAATTTGTATAAATGTTAATTATTAGTGGCATGGTTTAATTTCTTTCATGGTTTATTCATGTAAAATGCTAGATTATGTATCACTGCAACATTTCAGCAACATAAGGTGCAGTGTTTGCTGTGGATGTAGGACCTAAAGGAGACCAGATGTCACGAGGTGCACTGGAAGAAAGCATTGCCCTACATGACATTTTATTGTTTGAATGAGATTTTATTTTTATGTGACGCATCTGGGGCACACCACATATACTAATCAATATTAACATAGAGCAAGTCTTATTGTATTGTATGCTTCAAAAACTGATTGTTAACTTTATTGCTTCAGAACAGTACCGGGCCCAGTTTCCATTTCTCAGGATGAGTAGTTTATAAATGTTATAGGGTTTTGTTTCATGTAGAATGTAAAGATCTCCTTCTCTGTTTTAGTTCCCAGTCGTAGAGCAAAAATAGGGGAACTGGAAATACCCTTTGTCCATCCGAGCACATTGTGAGTGCAATACCTTGAAAAATAAGTGAAATACCAACTTCCACGTTGGTGTGTGGCAGCATCTAGACATAAAAAAGGTTCCTGTTAAAAATTGGGTTGCCACATCAAAATACAAAATGGCCACCAACGTATTTATAAGTATCACTATCATTTGAGGAAGCTGTGCCTTCTAGTTTTCATAGTTGCAGGAGTGATTTGAGACAAAAAGGGTGTCCGCAAAAGTCAAAAGAAAAGGTTTACAAGACAGTGGTGAGACCAGCTGTGTTGTATGGTCTGGAGACAGAGACATGGACAAAAAGACAGGAGACAGAACTGGAAGTGGCAGAGATGAAGATGTTGAGGTTCTTCTTAGGAGAGACAAGGATGGAGAAGATCAGGAATGAGCTCATCAGAGGTACAGCACAGGTTGAACTGGGAGATAAAGTTAGAGAGGACACACTGAGATGGTTTGGACATGTCCAGAGGAGGGACAGTGGGTATACTGGTAGAAGGATGTTAGAAATGTAGCTGCCAGGAAAAAGACAAAGAGGAGACATATGGATGCAGTTAGAGAGGACAGAGGATGCAGAGGACAGAGTGAGATGGAGGAGGCTGTGGAGACCCCTGAAGAGGGAAAAGCTGAAAGAAGAAGACAAAGAAGTTGCTTTCTATTTTTCCTTCTATTGCTTAAAAGTATAGTTTCCTGAAATGACTGGGGTGGCCAAAAATTAATCTATGGCGGCTGAGGGCATGACTGGCCACCCCCTGGCTCCACCATTGCACCTGGTGATGGATAAAACTGCTCCCTCCTCTCACCACCTCAGATAAGAACAAAAACCTACATCAGTTCTTATGCACAGTAAAACTCCTTCGCACAATATCTCGCACCAATGTTTATTTGCGGTCCCTGCTCAATTTCAGTCCAGAAAACACTCATCTTGAAAACTTCATTCACTATTCAAATCCTTCAGCGATGGGGGACATCAGCGCAGCACTTGTTTATTTGTGGATCGCAGAGATCTTCAGCATAGACTCCATTTTCCCTTTTTAATAACATAATTGCATCTGTTCACCATATTTGTTCATGTTTCCTGTTAGAATCTTTAGTAGACGCTACGGGTATGCCTAGCAGGAGCGCAGGGCAGGGCGTTGGTGTGCACCCACTCATTATTATAAGAATATACCAGGCTGTATTTTCTTTTTTTGGCTTCATGCAGTTTGAGGGCACCGTCAGTTTTTCCACGATGCCTCAGCAAAATGGAGCTGGATGACTAAAAGGTAGATGTAGGACCCATGAGAAATGTGAATATAACTACCTTTGCTAAACTGTGTACCCGATTTACAATGCACACTGTTTTTCCACTGGTGAATTCTCTATTTTTCATATTTTCCAGAAGCTGGGGCATTCGAACCACGTGGCGGGAGACCAGATAACTGCTGCAGTAGCTCCCCGATGCCTCTCCTCCTCCCCGTCTGCTGCAGCCTAACAAACCCAAAACAGCGCTAACTCATAATAACTAGGGAAAGTTCCACAGAGATGTCCTGCTGTGGCAAAACAACCGTGATGCAGTTGTGAAAGAAAAGATTTCCCTCTCCCTGGAGTCATTAGGATGGAATAAAACAAAGATTTTGTTTTGTTTGTTTTTTTTAGATTGAGTGAATTCTTATGAAATGTTTTGGATTAAAAATATATACTAAGAAAAACATGCGGTTCGTGATTTTTTTTTGTTTTTGTTTGTGATAAATCAGTCAACTCAAGTCCGATAATATTTTAAAGATTGACCTCAGCACTACAAGCATATTTGAGAAAGGTGATTTACTTGGAGCAATGCTTTGCAGAGCTCAGCAATGATAAACACCACCCAGTGATATTACCACCCTCCCAGTGCTTCCCCCCATCATGTCTACTGCAAATGGTCGTGCAAACTGTAAACTGTCAGTTTACAGCCAATAACAGAGACTTTAACAAAAATGTCAAACCAAACCAGAAAAAGGATATAACATGAAAAACCCATTTTCACACTTAGAAACGTTGTAAACAGAAACATTGTACACACAATTCCTACTTAGCATGCTTTGCAACGCTCACACTGTCTCTGGGACGTGACTCTCTCACGCATTTCACACAGCTTTTAATACAAACAGATTTATTACCGAGAATATATTGATGATGACGCACAGCAACTTTGTAGTTAGTTGATAAAAGTAGTTAACTGAAAAGAGGATCACTAAAGTGAGTTAATTCATTTCAGTAAATGATACGAGGGAGACGTCCGACACACATTGAATGCATCACTCTGCTTCAGCACAGCAGAGTTCTGCTCGGCCTCTTTGGTTCTGATGGACCGGATTCATTTCTGAAAGCTCACCTGTGAACTGGATGCTTGTGATTTATGAACCTTTAGCATTAGCCTCTGCAATTTTTTTTTTTAGCTGTTAAGCGGTTTAGCGTCAGTGAAGCTATCTTGGTTAGCTGTGCTCACCACTGTCCAACCACAACAGTTATTCTACACATGGCCATCTCTGGCCATGTTCTCTTGTGCCACAAACCTTACAGTCTCCAGTCTGCCTCAGGTTTCCTCTTCTACACAGACTGTAGTCTATCTGCATACTCTAACCTCCACTCTTATAGGTCACCTCCCCTTGAAAATGGTTGTTGACTACAACTATTTCCATCCTTTTGGTAAAATCTTCCACTATCTGTGCCTTTTGGTTCCTTTCCTTGACACCTAACCATCACTTCCTCATTTCCTCTGTTTCCTCCACCAACATGTCGATTCAGGTCTGCTCTGATCACCAGTCTCTTAATTCTCTCTATTACTTCATCAGAATTTATCTTTCTTCTCTACCTCACATCCAGCATGTGGAGCATCACCACTTGGTTTCTTGCACAAATAATACATATACCTTCCTTCTTGGCATCATGTCAGGCAGCTCTCTCTCTTTGCCTGTCATTGTCCCCACATTTAGAATTGCCACTCTCAATCTTACGCTCTTGACTTTCCCCTTCTCTCTCTGTGTCCTGGCACTTTTTCCTTTTCGTGATCTTTCAGTAACAGTAGCACTTTTCTTATGCTGGCACCTTGTTTGTTGACAGCACTGGTGGCAGTCATTGTTAACCCAAGCCTTGACCAAACTGGTATGATGTCATTTGAATAAACTCAATTGTTACTTTTGGCAGAACTGTTTTATGCTGGATGTCCTTCTTCACACAACCCTCACCATTTACCCGGGCATGGGACCTGCACAAGAGATACACTGGCTTGTGCTCCCCAGTGGCTGTTTTAGAGTGTGGAGAGACTGGAAAATGGAAAAACAGTTATAAGGTCTACAAAAGACCACAGTCTGGCCAGTGCATGCACAAATACACACACACACAAAAGCCCACTACCTCAAATGGTTAGAAGGACTGTGAATTGGTTCCCTAGGGTCCTATGGTGGGCAGCACAGTGGCGCAACTGGTAGAGCTGCTGCCTCTCAGCGAGCAGGTCCTTGGTTCAAATCCCGGTCCAGGGGCCTCTCTGGGTGGAGTTTGCATGCGTGGGTCTCTTCATGCATGGGTGTTTCAAAAACATGCATGTTAGACTGATTGGTAACTCTAAATTGTCCCTAGGTGTGAGTGAGAGAGTGAATGGTTGTTTGTCTCGTTTGTCTCTGTGTGTCCCTGTGATGGACTTGCGACCCGTCCATGGTGTACCCCGCCCCTCACACAGTGATTGCTGGACATGGGCACCAGCGACCCCCGTGACCCAAATTGGAAGAAGCAGGTAAAGAAAATGGATGGATGGGTCCTATGGCATCAACTCTAGCCATTCCAATAATACCTCGTTATGGAAATGTTTGCAGGTTACTGTAATGTTTGCACATACACATTTGATATGTATTAAGCCAACATACCTCATCCCACGTAAAGTAAGTGAGTTCATCCCCATCCAGGTTGCGGAGTTCACCATGCTGTGGAGGTTCTTCCACAAAGAAGTCAATGTTTGCTGAGCTATAGAAAGGATGAGAGATGTTCACAATCTCTTCATTAATTGCTTTGCTAAGGCCTTCCTTCACTGAAAAGTTGAAGGTCTGGATGGGAATAAACCGGGGCACGATGTTTATTGTGACTTGGAGGTCCTCCACTGTGTTTACACCGTTACTGACATCCACTGTGAAGGAGTCATAGCCCTGAAAGAGAAAGATGTTGAGATCAGTTACTAATATTCACTAATAAGCCTTCAGAGCCTGTGTTTTTGTTTAACTTGAGCATAAAGAGAAATAAGCTGTCACACGAAGGCAGTAGAATAAAACAGAAGGCCATAAACCTGAATCGATGAAGACACATAAAGGATGTGCCCCTGATCAATGTCCTCCTGAGAAAAGGAGTGAATGTAGTCGAGGACAGGCGAGGCCGTCTCGTCTGAACTGTTTTTCAGCATGACCACATGACCGAGCCTGGGAGGCATTTTAACTGTGAACATCATTTCTGTGGGCAGACTGTCCTCCTGCTCCACCTGAAAGGCAAAGGTGGATAATATTAGTATTTTAACGAGCTAATTGGAGAAACATGGGAAAAAAAAGACCAATTTATATGTGATTGTGGTTCATTTTGACATTTACACCACGTTGCGTTAATATAGAATTCATTCACCTGTTTAGAGTCTACAATTTGTTTCTCATCCTTTCAATTACACACAATGAACAGTCATAACAATTATTATCTATACAGTATATGCAGCAATAAAACATACAGATGAGCATATGGGTTCATCGTCTTGTAATTATACTCAGACCTGATGCTGCAAAAGTGCTCACGTGAACAACTAAAAATAAAAAAAAGTAGTGGTAGTAAATAGGAAGTGCTTGAAAAAACATAGTGTACATTTAAAAACTTCAGTAAGACCAATTTACCAATACAGAGCAGAACTTGGGGACTTTCTGTCTAAAAAAAGTGGCCGCCTATTATTATTATTCACCTGAAAAGGGTTTTTCTATCAACTTTAATGAGGCCCGAATCGCAATGTGTCCCCCCCACAAATGTTATATCAAACCACCGGCTCAGCACCGTGATGTGAGCTATTACTTTTATTTGCATTTCGAGTTACCATGGCAACGTAATTTGCCAAAAAGACGCCATTTTTCTCAGAAAACAGAAAATTAACTATAACTCAGTCAATCTTAGAGATGTTGAGCTGAAATCTGGTTTGGTCGTAGCTGAAAGCGAGTTGTTATTCCTAATGCATATCAAAAATCCAAGATGGCCACCTTAGCTAAAAAGGAAAAAATATGATAACCAAAGCTATTTTAAAAGATACCGAGCTGAAATTCGGTGTGGTGGTAGCTAAGAGCAATGCCCAATAAATACCGAATTCAAATAAAATACCCAAGATGGCCACCAAAGCTACATTTAAATGGCTTTAACTGAGTTATTTTTACACATAGAGCTGAAATTTGATGTGGTTGTTCCATCACATACTGAATCCAAACCAATTACATCTGGTCTTGTTTGCTTTTAGTTGTGAGCTTGTCAGTCCAGTTGGATCTAAACTCTAAGCTGATGCTGTTCAAATGTCCAAAGCGTCCCCTTTAATGATCCATCTGTACTGCATCCTGAAGGGGTGACACATATTGTTAAGCAGCGTTGTAAACAAAAGCCTTTTTTATGACATTTGGGAACATTTAAATTGCTGGTTTGCTGACAGATTTACTGCGATCCCACTTTAAGATGTTTTCTCATTAGTCTGAAGACTTGGCCTGTCTGAAAGTCAGACATTTATTTATTTTTGAGAAGATGGGGCTACATTTTTATTTCATAGTAAGGACACGCATGTGGACAAACTCCCAGAGGTCAGATCAACACTTTAACTCCAGGACGGGTCCTTCTGTCATGGCTTTTGTTCAACGCGTTTCTCTGTGTGTTGCAGTTTTTGTACGAGTGCATCTTCATGAAAGTTCACAAGATATGTTCAAATCTTTTCAAAATAATGTTTCTCATTAATTCTAAAGTCAGAACATACATAGACAAACACATGGTGTGTTGAGATAGGACCAACAATTTAAACTTCATTAATTGGTTTCAGGATGAAGCGCAGGCAGGCACATCTTTTAAATAACACAAGGCTTCAGGAAGCTCCTGAGGGGATACTTAGAGCTCTGTTTCAAACACTTAATAGACTGCAATTTAGTGCATAAACTAAATTAAAAGCAGCAATCATACAGTTATATCAAGTCCTGTTTTCTTGTGGTACATTAGAAACAAGGCTATAAAAACAGTGAAGTTAAGTAACGTGTGAAAGCTTCCTTTAACAAAGAGGAAATAAGAAAAACAATGATCCCCCCACCCCCAACCTAAAAATTAACGATATTTAAATCTGGTTGATAAAATGAAATGCTTGTTGTGCCAGTTATTGTGCGCAAACCAAGTTGAAGTTTTGGATTTGCCATCTAAGGACAAAGATCACCTGAATGGCCTTTAAAAGACCACAAAAAATGCTTGTTTTTTAAACTCAGTATATCAGTTATGGAGTCTGTACACATTACCTTGAGATGATCCTGGCTGATTATGGTGTGCTCTCCTTCATAGGAAATGATCAACTCATTGGTGATCACCTCCAGCTCAGAAAGGTAACCTTCCTTGAGTATTTTAATCTTGAAAGTACCCTCTTCAGAATGACCTTTTGCTTGGACAGTGAAGCTGAATGAGTCCCTGGACCTCAGACTCTCATAGTTGTGCTCGTACGACACAACGCCTTTTTTCAGGTCCTCTTGGGTGAATTCTAAAGCTTCAATCCCACTCACGATGATCCTGCCATCACTGGGTGGCAAAGTAATCTGGAACTTGATCTTACTGTCATCCCTGATATCCATGTTGGAGTCGGCGCTCAACAGACTTGTGTCAAGAGTCGTGGTGCTTCCGTGGTCAATATCGATGGTTGCGTTGCTGACCACGTGCAGGTAGGGCTCACCGGCCTGAATCTCAAGCAGAGCAGTGGTTTTATGGAAGCCATCTGACACCTGTAATGGAAACCGTTCCCGATCGGCTCCACGGTGAACGAAAAGGATTTTCTTGTCTCTCAGGTCAGCTTGAGTAAAACGGAAAAGGGGCTGCTGTGGATTAGATGCTGAGACGATATTTCCTGAGAGGATTCCCTCTCGAGCGTAGACAATCTGAGTGTCATTGAAACCGGAGTCATCATCTTTAAACTTAATGACATCAGTTGTGAGCAGGCGCTGACTGTGGCGGACAACTTTCAAGACTTTATCCACTATTCTGACAGGAGCGTGCTCGTTCTTGGACTGGATCAGTATTCTGAAGACACCTGTCACTGTTTCTGAGATGTCTGTACTTCGATCATTTGCTACAAAATGAAACTCATCACTGCTCGTCTTGGAGCCATCATGCTTGTATATCAACCTGTTATGCTGGAGATCTTCATTACTAAAAACTCTAATGGCCTCATCAAATCTCGGTTCTCCGGGCGGGGAGTCTCTGATCAGTCGTCCATGCTTCGGCTCTTGTTTGACCTGATACAAAAATTCTGTGGAACTTTGAGACTGAAGCCAAAGGTAGTTTTTGTTCAAAGTCTGCTCACCCCCTTGGAAAACTACCAACTCTTTGATAGTCAAAACATTTTCATCCAAACTGGCAAAAATGTTAATTGGGAATGTATATAAAGGAGAGTACTGGTCCTCTGCATGAACTCTGAATTGAAACTGGTCAGGACTATCCACATCTGTTTGCTTCTGGACTTTGTAACTGATGGCATTGTCCAAAATGTCTTTCTGAGTGAACATGCCACCTTCAACCAGCTCTTTGTCTGACAGTTGGAGACTACCGAGTGTTGGAGCTTTGACAAGGATGTATTTAACTGTTTGTGGATCCAAGTGTTTATTCATTACTTGTGCCTGAAGCATTGTGGATCCAATAATTTTTTTTTCACCAGGCTTGATTTTAAGTGAGCCCTTGCTTAAAATCTTCACTGTTGCAGGGAAAATCATGACTAAAAGGCTGTTATTCATAAAAGACAACTGGCCCAGATGGGCACCAAATCGAAACTCATCCATCACAGTGTCTTCCTGGTTACTTGAATCTGTGCTGAAGTATCTAATAAGTTCTTGCTCTAGATGGGATTGGTGGAAACTTGTAACTTGCTTGTACACACCATTGCTTGTCTTGATTTTCAGTTCACCAAACCTTGGAGGTTGTGTGAGGTTATACATGATGTCTCCATCACGAGGTTGAGGGAGAATACCCAGATTCTGAACACCTATGGATGCATTGCCTCCTTGGAACAAAGTAAGGCCAGAGTTGCTGGTGAAAACGATATGTGGTTGTGTCACCAACAACTTGAATGTGCTGGACTGGATTACTGACTGACCATCAGACACTTGTATGGTGATTTCATCACTGTCACCTTCTCTGTGTATAAAATAGATAGTTCCATCTCTCAGCTCTCTGCAAGTGAACTCTGAGATGCTTCTTCCTGGTTGTTCATCATTTTCCAAATGACCAAAATTCGTGGAAGGCTCCCGGGTCACCATTACTACTGACTGCTCACAACTAAAGTCAGAATCTAAGACTTTGATAAGACTGGGACTCATACGAGTCCTGGCGTTTTCTGCAATGATAATTATTTCTTCACTGACTTGTGGCAGTTCTTCAGCTGGAAGAATCACAACAGGAAGTGTATACTTTTGAGTAGTTTTTAGACATTCTGGAAGGTAGTCAATACCCTGAACAATAACCTCAAGCTGAATCTGGTCTTCATGTCTTTCATTTCCATCATGCATGTACTTAATTTTCTTGTTGACAACATCTAGGAGGGTGAACTTTTTCATGTGTTTCCTGCTAACATTGATATCAACCAGGCCGTACCAGGGATCACCCTCAAGAGTAAAGATAACTTGAGATTGACGGATTCCTGCAGAACCCAGGTCAAACGTAGGGTTTAAGTTGTAAAAATCAAGAAACATTTCTCCACCTTCTGGAACACGCAGAGGGGCGATGTCAAGAAATTTAGTAACGTTTCTGAATATCTCAGGCCAGTCGTCTGTTGGATAACAATCTTGGTCTTTCAATGTGGGGTCAGTATATAGAATGCTAACAGGTGGGGAGGTTGTTGTTATGTCTCCATCATAATAACTTGAGTAATCGTAGTCTTCGCCTTCACATTTGACATGAACATCTTTTGTCACCAAAGCATCCTGCAGGCTTCTATCCTTCTGATTTACTTTGATTTCCCCCAAGCATCCAATGAAAGATTCAGATGTCATGTGTTCCTCAAAACGACTCAACGAGCCACTCTCACGAAAGACTTCTTTCATTTTTCCCTGGATGCCTCCAATATATAAGGTTCCTACCAAGTTCAGTTTTTCTGATGAGTCGAGTGGAATGGAGGATGACTGGCTGTCTATATTAAGACTAAAAGAGTCTGGGTTGAGCTGAACCTTAATTCTATGCCACTGGTCATCATCCAGCTGTATCTGTGTATTGTCAAGTTCCTCCATACCTCCTCCAAGGTCTATTACACCTTTAAGATGGCCTTTTGCAACACCGATAGCAATGAAGTCTGACTCTTGACCATGGTGAAAAACAAGTAAAGCGTCCTCTATGGTGGTTTTCATTAGAAACTCCAACGTTTTCGGAGCACCAGCAGCCCCACTCCATGTAGGAAAGGATACAAAGGAATCAGGAGTGCTGAAACTGATTGCCTCCCCATCCCCAGCCTCAAACTCACTGCTGCAGGATTCCTTTGTATCATGGCACTGCTTAAATGCTGAGGTGAGGATGTCAAACTGATGGGACACAAATTTTATGTCAGTCATGCAACCACGGAAGGGAGGGATTGCATTGCTGAGGTAGAGGACATCCAGGTCTCCTGTCCCTCCAAGCCAAATGCCCAGGTCGATGTTGAGCTTTTCTCCATCGTCATCCACAGGGACATATGTAGGGTAGAGATCATCAATGGTCATGGTGAGCTGGCCATCTTGAAAAGTCAGCGACACTTTGTGGTGCACAAGGTTGTTGAGCTGCACTCCCTGAGATGAGGACAGTTGAACTTCCCCAGCCCCCAGGTTCATTCGTGCCTGTGGGGAGAGAAAAATTATGTCTTTAGTTTAAACATTTTCTCAGAACCTTTATGGTTATGAGCAAGTTATGACCCAAGGGCAGCAGGAGGGTTATGAACAAATACGTACAAGCACAAAGGCAAACTATTATAATAGACTGACAGTATAATCTTCACTTTGAAAAAAGGAAAATGTTACAAATGGTGACAAATGTGTTCAGCTTCACGTCAGATAAATTAGTCTTATATGGAGTGCACTGGTTTCTCTCAGGGTGACTCAGCCCACAGAGACTGAAAGATTACTGAATTTGTGTGAAAACTATATGAGTCATACGTGCTGCATCATTTTCAGTCACCGGATTTTAGTTTGGGACCATATTAGAAACGTTGGTTTGACCTACGCAACAGCTGTTTTCATCTGCCATCACTGACGCACCAAACGAGGGAATATATTTTGTAAAATTGTGTTTTGTGGCTCAACTGGATTTCCAGACATATAGGATTGATGCCAAATTACATTAAAGCTGCATCTGATGAACAAAAATATCTGTTACTACAACTTAATATAATTTCTTTAGGATCCTTTTATGATATTGTCAGTACAATATAAACCTTTATCAACAGCATTGCTTCTTTTTCGGTCAGTTTGACTTTGCATACAAAGACCTGGACAGGCTAAACAGTCATTATAATCAATGCATTATGTTGATGTGGCTGATTTTTATTTTCTACTTGTAGATATTATTTTATATTTGGTAAAGCACAGTTAACCTCCATTACCTGTATTTTCCCATTTAGGAGCTCAAGGAACAAGTAATCCTCCATTCCTGCAGCCAAGAGCAGAAGCCCACTTCGGCGGCTTGTCTTGATCTGTAGAGACAGCTGGAAGGTGGAGACATCTTGGACGGCTTGTAGATGGCAGAAGCTGTCTCCAAAGTAGGATTCTAGAGAGAGACGGGGGAGAGAGATCATATTAACCTCAGCATTAACATCGTCACATTTATTTCTACTGTGTACAGAACCACCTCTTCTGTCTTATACGTTGAAATAAAAAATGAAACATTGAAAAAAGCCTGCGCTGACCACATGGTTCATGGGCAGAAATGAGATAGTGTTTAGGGAGATGGTTCCAATTATGTCTTGGGCTTCTTTGTTGGGTCTAATTTTTGTTTCCTTGTGCTTGAAATGGTTCTTTAAAAACAGTCACAAAAAAAAAAAAAAACAGAGTTGAACAACTTTTTGGCCAATGGGTTGACCCAATATCGCGATCGAAGTACTAACAAATCGTAGAATCATCAGTCACTAAAACTGATTCACAGAAGGTTTGAAGGGACACCAAAGTTGATCAACTTGTATGTAGATGATACCACTTTATATTCCTTTAAAAATGTCAAATTTCTCTCTTTTTGATTATTAAATCAACTGATATTGTATTTTCTTTGAAAACACTTAGCCAAGTTTTATAAATGATTATCCAAATGTCTGCTTTTTGACAGAAGTCAGTAAATGGAGCAGCTTCGGATGTTATCAGTCCATTAAATATGGAGATGATAACAACTAATAACGGCCATTTAATGGCTGATCACATCCGAAGCGGGTGGGTACTGACTGATGTCTGTCAGAGAGTCGCTCTACAGGAAAGCTCCTGTTGAGCCATGGCCACTGAATAATGTCAAAACAAGGTCACAATAAGATCCAACTGAAAAATCTAACAGGTTTCCGTAACTTCCCATTCATTAGTTCAGAGCTACTGTAAGTCAGCAGCTGCTCTATGATTTAAAACGAGGACGCCCAAAGTGCGGCCCGAGGGCCATTTGTGGCCCTTGGAGTGATTTTGTTCGGCCCACAACTGCAATTTAAGAATGGCATCATTTTTGGCTTAAAATGTTAAAGATGTAGACCCACTGCAGATTCAATTGTGATACTTTTTTTAATGTAATTTTGGGGTTTAACAGCAAAACAGATTTTTTCTTTCACCAAATGAGCAATATTAAGTACAATACTATCATTTGGCTATAATGATTTTTTGATGGTGCAAAGTGCTGCAAACATTTACTCTGGAGAGGGTTTTCTGAGCGTATCGGAGGGTTGGGTGCAGGATTTCCCAGGCTCAGCTTGCCTCATTTTCAGCGATATGCTAATCGAGCCACCTGCCTTGGACTGAGCTCTTTGGAGCTCTTGACAAAATGCAAACCGGGGAGGAAGTCAATTAATTACCAGTGCACATGCTCTGAAATTAAAATGGATCACTTCCAAGACCTGCTTTTCTCAGCCCAGGTTTTCAGACAACTTAGACAGGAGGTGTAACAGGTTGGGGGGGTCTTGCCATTAGCTACCCTGTTGTAGTCAGAGAGCTGATAGTCTGAGACACAGACGGCCACAGGAACAGAGAAAGATTCTGAAATACCTGGTTGTAATAATTGGAATTGCAAAGCAGAGCAGGACGGTGTGTTAACAGCTCAGAACGTTGTTGTGAGGCTGGGAAGGCCACAATGTTCCTTCTGAACTGACTGAGGCATCCATGGTGCTGGCAGGACGGTTAGCTTAAAGCACGAGTGTCCAAAGTGTGGCCCGAGGGCCATTTACGGCCCTTGGAGTGATTGAATGCGGCCCACAACTGCAGTTTATGAATGGTATCATTTTGGCCAGCAGGCTTAAGAAGTCGATGCAGACTTTCTGCAAACTAGTTGGTAATTCTTCTTTTAAATATATTTTTTAGGTTTAACAGCAAAACAGCTGAAAAACAATCTTCTCAAAATGAGCAACATTAAACAAAATACAAACCTTTGGCTATATATTTTTTTAAGTTTCACTTCATGGTACAAAGCACCAAAAACCTTCACTGGTTTCTACCAGAAAGGAGACTTTTGGATAACGATTCATAAAACTTGGCTGAATATTGCATTTGATAAAATAATCAAGACACTGGACATTTTTAAACAAGTATAACGTGGTATCATCTACATACAAGTTGATCAAATTGATCAAACCTTCTATGAATCTGTTGTAACGACTGACGGCTGGACGACTTTCAGAAAGGACACTTACTTAAATTATGCTTTTGTTGCTGAGAACAGACTAAAATGAACTTTGTAAACACAAGAAAACAACAAATCAAATAAATGTCATCATTTTTTAATAAAAAAAATATAAGCTTAGTGTTTATGAGGCTTTTAATTTTTTGGATCTACAACAATTAAAAGTCTTTCTCCACCAAAATCAGTAAACTTTTGTCCTTTCTCCAAAATATTGTTCACGTTGAGAGTTAAATTCACATTTGTGGCCTACGAGTCCATCTTGATAGTTTTGGCCCATAGGACACCCCTGAACCTCTCGGACTCACAAATCCCATTCAGAACTATAAATGAGAAAAAGTTACTGTTTCAAGACTCAAAGTTTGTATTTATAAAGGGCAGATTGTGTCTTTGTTGCATCCACGGTAATGCCAGCTTCAAAACACTGAAGGGTGCGTTTGTCCTTTTGTTTCTCTTCCTCGAAATGAAACCCCTTCATTCAAAACCCAAGACAAATAATGGAAAAGTGAGCAAAGACAGCCTTTTGATGTCAGCGAGGATGAAAGCAAAGCTGTTATCGTCATGCGCACGCTTTTATTTGACTAAAAGGCACTTGCCTCCGGTTACCACAGCAGCTCAAAGTCAGGCAAGAAACGTCTCGACACAGGGCCACAAGAATAAATAAATACATCAATAAATAAATAAAATAAAATACAGGCATGTGACTGCATACTCATGAAAAATCACCAGAGAAATCAGCTTTTAGCTTCAACGTTATCAAATACCGAACAACTACTACAACTATACGGTAATCCAGGCTGAGAAATGCAGCCTATATCGAGAGTATTCAAACATAAATGTAATTTTCAAAGACGTGCAGCCTCTAACAGCTAAAGTGAGGTCACATGACCTGGGGTGAAGACGTCTCTGAACAAAACACCGATTAACTTTTGGAGCCATTCAAGATGGCTGCCACAGCTACTTCAGAAAACACTAAACTGACTATAACTCAGTAATTCTTTGATATATTGAGCTGAAGTTCGGTACGGTCGTAGCTAAAAGCGAGTTGTTATACATTCCTGATGCAAATAAAAATCCAAGATGGCTGCCTTAGCTAAAAGGAAAACATATGATGACTCAACTATTTTAAAAGACATTGAGCTGAAATTTGGTGTGCTGGTACCTGACGACAATGTGCAACACATTCTGAATTCAAATCTAAAAATTTAAGATGGCCACCAAAGCTAATTTCAAACAGCTAAAACTCGGCTGTTTTTAGAGCTATTCAGCTGAAATTTTGTGTAGCAGCTGAGAACGATACCTGATAGATTCTTGCTGCAAATCAAAAATCCAAGATGGCTGCCAAAGCTAAGTTTAAATGGCTTTAACTCAGCTGTTTTTTACACAGAGCTGAAATGTGGTGGCATTATAGCTGAGAACGTTCCCCAGAATCCAAATCAAAAACCAAGATGGCCACTAAAGCTTGAAAGATATAAAAACTATTAACTCGTTGATTTTTTGCCGCGTTGAGCTGAAATTTGGTACGATGGAAGCTGAGAGCGAACTCCAACACGCAGTACTGTCAAATCTAAAAAACGTGGCAGTCCCCGTCAAAGTGTCTCCAGAAACTTTTTTCAAAATGTCCTTCTTGAGTTTCCGTTAACAGTTTCTGACTGTGCCCTGGTGGTTCAGTTCAGGCAGACTGGGTCAGGTACGACGTTCTACAAAAGTCTTGTTGTTTTAACGCAATAAATAAATAAATCCAGTTCAGTTTTACAGTCACTCAAACCAAGTTTTGTTGAACTGTGGGAAAAAATGTAATAAATAACGAAAAGAAGGGGAAAACACGAAGAACGTCCAGTGGATTTTCCAGTTTAAATTCAATTTGTTGCCTTCAGAAAAACAAAACGGGGCCAATTGTTTTTAACGTCATCTACAAAAGCTTTCTTCTCTGCAGGGTGCTTGAACCCGGAGTTCATTAGTTTGCCCTCTGTGCTGAACGTTTTTCATTCAAGCTTTATTTAAACAGGTAAAGCCCCGAACCTGGTCTAGAATGGTGTTAGTATGGAAGAGCATTTTCAGAATATCTGTAAAATACTCTTTATTATTCCCGTCTTATGCTTTAGTATCGTCCGTGCTCCACGGCGGAGCAAAAAGAGACCAACCGCTGAAATAAACGCATTTCATGAGTGAACCTTTAAAATGAACCTTGATTCACAAGTTCATCCAAACTCAAAGCTTTCCTTTAAATGTGGGAGGAAATCAGATTCAGACGAGTTTGTTTCTAGTTATCAGTGTGTGAAAATCATCATCTGTGCTCCTGCGGACACGAGTTTGATCCGTGACACTGCGAGCACGCTGTCAGTCTGTGCACGTGAACCACGTTAAAGAATGTGCTCAGCTGCCACGCCCGCCTCACACTGCTCCATTGTCTTTGCAGCAGATTCCTGGTGCCGGGCCAGTGCAGATGGCTACGACTCCACGTCTGACTGCGCTTTTAATTCGTAAAGGAAAAAGAGATTTCCTCTTCGCTTTTCCCAACAGCTGGATGAATTATCAGTTGTTTGGCTCTCCGTCCACATCTGGAGTCGCAGCAAGAGTCCAGAGAAGCTTTGTGGAAGCCGACCACATTTACAGCTTGAAGAAAGACGCCCAGTCAGTTTGAAGTTCACTGACTGGCTGAGCTGATCAGCCTCTACAAAAACAGTCACGTCTGTCTGTTAGCAAAATATTTCATGAACCACTAGGCTGACTTTTATGAATCATTTTACAAACGTATACAACTGATTAACTTTTAACGATGGCCTCCACAGCTAATGCTAACAAACGCAACATTTTTGTTTCACACTTTGTCGTGTAAGCTGACACCGTCACGGAGCAAAAGAGAGAATTGGAAATATCCTCTGTCCATCTGTCCGTTGGTGCAAGTT